CCGTGAATATGAACAATAAGATATATTATAAAATTAAAATATTCAGACACACTGTGTTGCATATCTTTTATTTATTATGTCAATTAGGTTCCTCTACTAGTTTCACCAACCATGGCCATCATTATCAGAATATATATATATATATATATATATATATATATATATATATATATATATATATGAAGAAAAATATACGGAAAAAACAAACAAAAATCCTAATATGCAATTATGCCGTTTTAATGTTAATATAATGTCAACGCTTAAAATTACTTTGTGAGTGTGAGATAAGTCATTACGACTTCAAGATTCGTTTGGACTATTGACCCTATTGTTTTCGTTATTTACAAAATGTTTCGGCCGATCAGGTCTATGGCCTTTTCAATGATTTCAAAAAAAGTAGTGACATTGATATATATCACCCGCATATATAAACATACTTTGGCCATATATATTAATATATATATATATATATATATATATATATATATATATATATATATATATGCGTGTGTGTGTGTGTGTGTGTGTGTGTGTGTGTGTGTGTGTGTGTGTGTGTGTGTGTGTTTTTGTACAATAAAAATATTGAAAAATTAAAAAATTAAAATTTAAAATTTTCAGACACACTGGGTTGTATATTAATATTTTTTGTTTTATTATTTCATTAGGTTCGTCGACTAGTTTCGACCAGCATGGCCATCATCAGTAGAAAAAAAGATCCTGCTTGTTACTAGCAATGAACTACAGTAATGAATGACTTTCTGAAGAATAAATGTATATTATTATATATATATTTGTCTCATGCCTGAGTAATTTCGACTTTTCGGCGCCATTGACAATTTGTGTCCGTGTGTGTGTGTGTGTGTGTGTGTGTGCGAGAGAGAGAGAGAGAGAGAGAGAGGGAGCTATTCCGGTCTCATCATCGGCCTGAGTTTTGTATATAGTTCACTGGTGGCTTATGAGAAGTTAGAGAAATATGAAACCTTTTTTTCACATATATTTTTACATCTGGGTTTTGATCATTTATAGACTTAACTTTGTGCACCTTTATTTTATTTACATATTTTTTTTTAATTTCATTAGATTTTTATTTACTTGGCTTTTTTCTTTTATTTTCAGTTTTTTCAATATATACACGCATATATATATATATATATATATATATATATATATGCGTATATTTTAGCAGCATGTTTTTATTGAGACATGTTTTGTTGAATAATTTAAGCCTGTTCTGTCTACTTATTTTCATTTGGATCCTTTCACATTCACAGATTAGCATTTTAGTGGCATTATTGAAGTACGATAGAGAAAATCGCCTTGTTGATAGATATTTCTTTTATTCCGAGTACTTTCGACATAGCACAATGTCATCATCAGGGTATTGTTTATTTCAAGAGAAATATTGTAGTGTCCATTATTGTAAGGTTGCTTCTCTGTGTCTTTTCTATGAATACTTTCATGGTAATTGTTTGGATGAGCTCTTCCCTATGGTACTAGATTTTATGAATATAAGCGCAATACGAGACTGGCACCGAAATCTCATCAATTTACAGTTGAGCTGTCTAGATGTAGCCATAAGTTCTATGCTAACAGTTTCTTTTCTCGCACTTCTCACTTATGAAACTCCCTTCCAGTTCCATGCTTTCCAGCCAAGTTTAATCTACCAAAATTTAAATGCAATGTCAATCGCTATCTCCTGCCCTCCTGATTTCTCTTTTCTCTTTCCGCTCATTATTAATGTTTCTATTTTTAATTTTTTTCTCACCCTTGTGTCTTAGTGACTTTATTGCCATGCTTGGGGTGATATGGATTAAAAACATATCAGTGGTTAGCGAACAACTGATGGTATATAGAAATAGTATAGATCGGAACTTGAGAAACTTGATAGGAAACTCTATCACATATACATAGATAACTAGATGAAGAGGAGGAGAGGGGTGTGTATGTTTGCCAGTGTATATAAATCACTTTCAAAGCTTGCAACTATTTCCCATTTGTCAGAGCGAAGAGCCCCTCGTAAAAATGCTAATGTATCAAAGCAAAACAAAATATCAAACTGAGTAGAGTATTCGATTATTCCAGAATCACAGTTAATGATTTCATTACGCATATATCAATCCATTATTCCTTACAGAGCATGCGCGTTGTGCAAACCGAACGCCGTCTTTTCGACGCCATCTTACTCTCTTTTCTTTGTCTTGTCTTAAGAAATACACTGATCGCTTAGTCAGAAGGTTTTCGGCGCAGGGTCAGGCGATAAGAAAAAAGACGTGGTTCGCACGTCAGTAAAGGAGCCGAGGAAAAACTGCCCCCGTCTATTTCCGCAACATAAGCTTACGGTTATTGGCACTAAAGGGAAGAATGATTGTACTAAAAACGGATTCCCCGAGGTATTTGACGCCAGAGGGATGGTAACGACGAGAACTTTTCTAAAAGCGACAGAGAATTCGACGCCAAATCATGTATTTTCCTGTCTTATTACATCGACACACACACATCGGAGGACGCATATTTTTCTGAGAGGATTTCTCGAATATTCAGATGTAGTTGAATAAAAGATACTGTTTAATTAAAATTAGAGCTTCTATCCGAATATGAGTATCCATCAAAAATCAGATTTAAACAAAATAAATTCAAAATAACAAGATATGTGTGTGTGCGTGCACTTCGATGTGAAGTAATGGTTAATGAGCTTGTCTCGCTACATCAAGTACGACTAAGAAGTGAGTTCAGTCCTCACAGGGAACTTTATAATTTCGGCCTTGTGCCACATCTAAGCTAGCTTGGGAAATCCCTATATGTGTAGGTGTGTGTGTGCGTGTCACTTAAATATAATATGCGTATATTTATTATTACCTTCTGTACAGGAATATATATATATATATATATATATATATATATATATATATATATATATATATGTAATCATTCATTCGAAAATTATAGCATAAAAATGTTATAACATCACTACAAAAATAGTCATTTTGTTTCAACACT